CACATATATAAGTATAAATATAAATAAATAAAAGATAAAAATAAATAGTTAGATAAATACATATATATATATATATATGGTCATGGTAGTAGGTAGACGCAGTGTCAAGGAGTCGGCGCGCAGAGCCGTACTTCAAGATTACTTCCCCAGAACGAAGTGCATACCCTTCTGTAAACCCCAGGTCTTAAACTTAAACCCCGACCCGAAGATCCAATGCTGAATCAAGGTGCCCGGTTTGTAGAGAAGACTCCTCAACCGTGGCGCCTGCGCATTTCGAGCGCCGGAACATCAAGAACCTCAGGACGGAGTAGAGGATGCAGCATTTGGAGCCTCTCCTTCATAGCTAAGCTTTCTGGGCTCGCAACACACTACCAAAGTCATCTTGTTCAGTCACTGGGATTCTGTGGGGCCGATAGGGTGTGGGATCCATAGGTTCGGGGCCGAGGTTTGGGCCTCGACTGTTGGCCTGGGCGCGCGGGTGTGGGTTTCCGCAGTGAGGAGGGGTGAAGTGATGGATGGCAAATAGTTTTGGACTTTAGACTTGCACCAAGAATCGAAAATCCTTTCCAAGCTGGTTCCAAGCTAACAAAACGGTTGAGTTGCCTCAGGTTCCAAAACGAGCGGACGCCAGCCTTTGATCTCTGCGTTTTCTCTGGTAAGCGGGGCGAATCCCCAGCTAACTAGAACTGACCCTTGTCCCCGCATAATCCCCAGCAGGATCAACTGCCCAAACGGATGCGGAGGCGCCTGGGCTGAAAGCCTTCATTGCCTTTACGTTTGCAGCTGCACTTCCATACAGAATTCTTAGAATTAAGTTTCGGGTTGCTGTAGCCTAGACCTCAGAGGCCTAGGATTAGGAGAAGTGTAGACCCTCTTCGTTTGACGCAAGAAGACTGGGCTAATGCATAGAACCGTGCTTATCATGTCTGCAAACTCCAGGGCCCTTCCGCGGAGGTCATATTCCTCAGAATCCACTGCTGTGCTATACCTAATTTTCAACAGACCTGCAAGATGTGCGCGCATGGAGTTCGGTTGGGAGGGTGGGGAGTACATTGGCCGGATCAATCCGACATTGCTCATGATTTGCAGTGTTCTCTTCCAATAGCGGACTGCCAGCGATTTCTCATCTCAAAGCCTGGAAAGAGCCCGGTCGAAGTTCCAAGAAAGCAATGTGCTGATGTTGTCACTACTCTTGTCAATCCCCATCCCTAACCCCCAAACCAATGCCCACAACTCCAAACCTAAACCCTAAAGCCCCCTTCCGAAATGCCAGGTACCTTCACCCTGACCGAGAAGCCCGGGCACCTCAGCGACCTTTGCCCTCTCCGGGAGGTTCAGTGCCCAGATTGCGGGGCCTCCATGAAAGCTGACGCGCTGGCCGCACATCAGGACCCTTTCAGTTTGGGTTTAAGCTTTAGGGCTTAGCTTTGAGATTTTAGGTTTCAAGGTGGTGCAGAAAGCTGGCAGGTAATTATGACTTGACTACTTATCTATGGACTTGAGCTCCCGGAATTTGGGCGCGACTCTTGTGACCATCCCCAACCCCCCAACCCAAAGCAAACCACTAGTACCCTTACTGACTTTAAGATCCCAGCACGGCACATGATCCTTGAATCCGTTTTGGTGGACCAAAGAAAGCATCGCTCGCGTTCCTTCCATGCCTGCGTGTGGGGCAAGCAGTACCCCAACATCGCCTATCGCGCCTCCCCAACCCCCTGCAAAGAATTGCATCAGGTCCTGCTGATAGCTCGTGGACATATGCAGGAAGGTTCCTTGATCAAGAACACGTAGGGTCTTTGGGCATCATCTAATATAGGGGCCTAAATAATTTCCTATACTATTCTGGCGGTTCCTTATTATATTTATAAACTGGGCCCCGCAACCCTATTCTGAGTATTAAGGCCCTTAAACCCTAACCCGTATAGTATCCCTTGTAGAGCCCTTTAAAGGAACCCCAAAACCCTATTCCAACTATTAGTAGACCGCATGACGCCCGGAAAGCCTTTGCCTCGCGAAGGACTCGTCCCCCAAAATCGGAATTTCAATCCCAAAGCCTGATTTCCAAACCCCCAACCCCCAACTCCAAACCTCAAGCTCTATGGGTCTATAGGGTTTAGGGTTTAGGGATAATTATATAGTCCCTAAGCCCCAAACCCTAAATCGCTTTAGTTTTCGATGGCTCTGCAGGAGGAGCACTGCACCAGCCGCAGGATTCTGTGCACCCTTTGCGGGGAGCAGGCTGTCGAAGGGCTGCTGGGTTCTCAGGTTTTTTTATGGTTTAGGGTTAGTTCTGTTTCCAAGTTTGCTGAGCTTAGGGTTCAGGTTTCAGGGCCTGGGGCTTTTGGGCCTTGATTCGCGTTTGGGCAGTTCCGGGCGGATAATTGTATAGTGGAGGCAGGTTTTCGGGCATCTTTGATTCGTAGATAAGTCTTTTGACTCGGGAACAAGTGGCGTTGTCAAGCGCCTCAGCCCTGGACCCTATACGCCGCCCAACAAGCGATGCACAGCCCCCCATCCTTCCCTTTGACTTTGGGGGGGCTGAGAAATATTTCTCATTTTGGGGGGTTGCTATAATTTCTGAGAAACATCTAAAATGGGGGTTTCCGAATATAGGGGACCCTAATATAGTACCCTAAACAATAGGATTCGATCCTTAATATAAGGACCCCAAAATAAGGTACCCCGAATTTTCGGAAACTCCCAAATGGCTCGGTCCCAAACCCTAAAACCCTAAACCCTAAACCCTAAACCCTAAACCGTGTGCTTGGCCAGGTCATTGGCACCGACATGATGGCGCACTTCGAGAGCAGCCCAGGCAGCCGGCTTGTCAAGCAACACTCATGGGGGGGTTTAGGGTCTAGGGTTTAGGGTATGGGGCACTCCATAGTCTAAGGCTCTTGGGTAAGTGCTAGTTTAGTCTTTAGTGTAGCTGTTTGTTGTTTTGTGTGTTTTCTGGTTTGTGGCTTCTCTAGAGTTGGACATAGAAGGTTTAGGATTGAGGTCGTTGGGGCTTTGAGGTGGAGCCCAAACCCAAGGAGCTTGAACCCGCACCCTCCAGGCTGTGGGCCCTAAAGCCCGAAACAGAACCTAAGATCTGAAGCTCTAATACACGGGCCTCAATAATTACCTATACTATTTTTGGGGCTCCTTACTATCATTATACTATAAAGGACCCCCAAACCCTATTCTAATTATGAAGGCCCCCACATCAAGCCGCCTTGACTGTGGACCCTAAAACTACACCGCAAACTGCGACTCCATCTCCAATGCGCAAGGACCAAGGGGTTTTTTCTGGCGCCTAGAATTCGGTTCCCGGGCTTCGGGGCTAGAACTTTGCGTTTCGGGCGTGGGGCTTAGGATCCAAAGCCGGTGCTTCAGGGCTCAGGATTTTGGGTATTCGAGCGACTCGGCGTCCAGCTAAGAGTGGGGCTTCACATTGGCTGGCATGCGGTTTCGTGAAATGAACTGCTGCCATGTGACAGTTCTGGAGATTTGCAGTATCAGTTGCTGGTACTGGTACCAGCGTAAAGGATGCGGGCCTGACCCCTTTACCGTATCGCAGAACTAACACCCTCATCCTCCTTGACAAGTTACCCGTCTTCGTAGAATTCAAGGAGCCCCAGGCCCTCAACTTTAACTTTAACCCTGATGAGGCAAGCACTTTGTGGCCTTGCTGGCGAAGGCGTGAGCATCGAAAACCCCTAAGCTCTACAAACCCTGAGTTGGATTTCAGTGCGTGGAGCAGTGCTTTAGTTGAAAGTTGGTCTGGGTCGCGGGGCTTGGAGTTCGGGTGGAAGGGTTGCCAGAAGAGGATCGTATGGGCATCATATGGGAGGGGTGTTCTAGGGGCGCGGCAACGGCTCTTGTAGCTAGCTTGAGGCCACTATGAGGGTACTACAGGCTTTAGGGTTTCATGGGGGCTTGCGACTTATGAGGTTTAGAGGTTTGGGCCAAGGAGTTTTGAGCTTTGGGGTTTCGGGCTTCAAAATCTTAAAACCCTAAAGCCCTAAACCCTAAACCCTGCGTTTTTCAGAGAATAGCGGCATCGAGCTCTTGCGCTCTCAGAAAGACACACGTCAAACCCAGCCTCTAATCCATGCCCTCCAAGCTCCCAGGCCATGTTGGTTCAATGTTTGACCACGCAGATGGTTGTTTCTGCTTTTTTGGGAGTGCTCATGCATCAAGAAACGCACGAATCACGAAAGGAGGGTGTTTTTGGAAGACCCAGGGTTGTCCGCAACGTCCTACGCCATCAATTTTCTTTTTGCACCATGCTGCAGTTGACCATTTGTTTGGGTGACCCTCACAGCTAGCCCGCAACCGCGGTACAGCAAACTACCGATCCCCTGGCCCCCCAAAATCCGTCCCCCCTGAGTTTGTGAATTGAAAGCCAGGAAATCAGGGTAGCCCATAAGCACCGAAATCACAAAGAGCTTCAGCGGCTACAAGTCGAAACGGGAGCAGGAGTCGTCGTCGTAGTCGTCATAGCAGTCGTCGTCTTAAAGAGTCTGCAGTCCGTCAACCCGAACCCCGTAATCCTAAACCCTCAACCCTAACCCCCAAACCATAAACCTAAACCCCTAAATCCCGAAACCCTGAACCCTAAAGCCCCTAAACCCTAAACCCAAAGCCCCAAAGCCTAAACCTCAGGATCGAGACTCTACCCCTGTCCCGTGGCCCCCTGAGAAAGGTCAGCAGCCTGGAGGCTGAGGTCACACGGCTCAGGGCCGAAAGGGGCTGAAAGGCGGGTCGGAAGTGGACTTGTAGCTGTGCAGGTTTAGGGTTTAGGGTTTAGGGACTATAGGGTCTATAAGGTCTATAGGGTTTAAGGCGGAAATCGGGTTCCGGTGTAGGGTTTGCTGAGCCATGTGTGCGGAGTAGCTAGAGAGACTTAGAAGATACGACACGGTGCCATAGACAGGTTCAGGACCTGGCATTACAGGAAACTGGGCCCTTGTCCCGCTTTTGTTTCGTAGGTCTTTCCAGTAGAAGTGTGAGCCGCAAAAATGACCTCCACTTCTTTGAGGAACCCTGACCAGTCCGTCCCAAAGGGAGTAACTACCGGGCTGCCAAACGAAGGCATGGGCTCGCCCTCCAGGTGCCTGTTGCCTGACGTTCGTACAACAAGGCATCACGAACGCTAGCCGTTCGGATGCTTTGGAGCTGGACCATGGTATAGATCGTGGTGTTTTCCATGCAAAACCCTGCTGCCAGCCTTGCACGGCCCTCTGAATGGAGGTGCCCAACAGGTCATGGCGAGGCGCTGAAGCATAAAAAAGGCAGTGCGCAGTGGACCTGCACATATCCTAGGCCCCCGCAGTAGTACACTTCAGCCCGTAGAATTTTGAGGTCTCCGTCTTGAGATTGAATAATGGGACCGGGGGGGCCCCCTGTTCTGAAGGGGCTGCAGGGGTTAGAAACTTAGAGAACACTTGTCGAACCCTTACACACAACCTTCTACACTAAGCCACTGAGCACTAACCCCCGCCACCCGGAACCCACCTACCTACCCTGAGCTTTACGGACTTTCGTGGGCACAGGAACCTGAAGATTGATGCTCAAGTAAGTTTAGGGTTTAGGGTAGTGCTGTGAAGAAGTTTGAGTGGCTTATCCATCACATGGTACTGAGGCGTTGTCATGGTCAGGAATATCTTTTTAGAAATAACCTTGTTCTAGGGCTGATATGCACGGGATTTCCGCTATCATTTGGGGTTATGGGCTCAAAATCCGAGGGCTCGACGATGTATGGCTTTCCACGCTTTCGTTTTTCTTGCGTTTCTTTCCTCACCACAGAAATCATAACGATGAGTCAAGAGAGGGTTGACAGAGGCGGGCATGTCAACCCTTGGCCCAGAAACTGAAAGCCTGCGCTCCGGAGGGGTACAAGACTGCATTAGCTATCTATCTACCTACCTATCT